ATATTAATGGGTAGAATATTCAGATTCAGATTCAGATTGACAATAAACCATGCCAAATATTACACACTGGCCCTTTAAGAACCCACAACACCAACAAAACACCCATAAACCACCATTATAAAAGTGATGCCTGTAAAACTGCTGACAGGTCACCTTGAATTGCAAACAAGGTCAATTGTGACTCATTATAAAGTTTTGATTTGTGGAGGTTTTATATTGATTAAAATTTTTACCGAGCTGAGAATAGCATTTGGAAAAACCTTGAGGTCATCACGATGTAAAGTCTATGGGTTGAGCAGGAATCCACAGATGTGCCAGTGGGAGAAACACTTCTGTTCATATTCAGTGGGCTGCATACCCCAAAAGTAAACCCGGAGGCCAGAAACTTCTTTTGTGTATATGCCAGATCCCCAGGAGGTGCACTCAACTTTGAAGCTAATTTCACATAGTGGCCAAACCAATTAACTGGATCTGGATTTCCATTTCAATTTTCCATCATGTGATGTCACTGAGTCCAAAAAGGCTTTTCCCCATAGACTTAAGCCTAGTTTATGCTCGAGGTTCGTGCGCCACAAATGACGTAATGGCTGGCGCTTCGCGAGGTGCTACTGATTCTTAAGGAACTCGGATGGCTGTTCCAGTTCATCAAACATTGAGAGACTGACACTAATTTTGAGAGTGAGGTAAGCAAAATAAAATAAGCTACACAAACTCACAAAAATCTCCCTCAAAACAACAAACACCATATCTATAGAACTGTGTTTCCTGCTTTGTTGTGTATGTTATGTTAGCTCATGCTTTCACTGCTCATCCTTTACTTGTTCTGCTTCAGTTTTTTGTTGGAAAAATGCAAAATTATGAATAGGCCTACTATGTTGTAGGCATACAGTTTGTTAAGACAAAAAATAGCATGCTTGTTTTTTAATGGTTCTATTCAGTGGATACATCCTTTATGTTTACATCAGTGTACCTTATTATAATCAAACTTTTCATTTTTTATTTTTTTCTATTTATTTGAATTGAGTGAAGACTGTGCAGTCAAAATGAACCACCATATACCATCTGCCCCTATGCTGCCACCAGTTTGTTCAACATTTCCCCATCATAGAACAGTGCATTTTCACCCGTCGAAACACCAGTGCCTGGAGCATCCTCAGAGAGTCCTTGTCCAGCAGCACTTCACCTCTGTCCTTTCCTCCATCCCCTCATCCTGCCCACTTTTCAGTTCCTGACCCATCCCAGACTTGAATGTTTTAAATTGTTAATGTTGTAAATTGAATCCTGGCCCCTGCCACAGTTAAGTATGTTATTTACATACATAGATACTAGTCTGGATGTCTACCTCCTAGTCATAGCACACAGCGCAATTCTTATAGTTGGTACATTTTATTCTTTTATAAAAAAAGAAATATATGCAAACAGTGCACTCAGGTTTGGTGATTTTATTGTAAATGATCAGGGCCATTGTTCTTGTGCAGTTTACAAAGAAAAATATGAGTCTTTTCAGTGTTTATACTCATTGCATTGTTTGTTTATTTTGCACACACATTGTGAAGTCACTTAATTCATCTGTAATCGTACACACACACACACACACTGATGCATGCTTAATAAACTAAGCCAGGAATATTCCGAAGTCCTGATCTGATCAATAATATATATCATATAATGGTTGAGTGATTGGAGTGCTAAGAAAACAAGTCTGTGCTACAAATCTACAGTAAATAACATACTATCCAATTAACATACATACTGTAGGATCTGTGAACACAGCAGCCTGAGGACACAAGCTTTCTTGGCCCTGTCTGGTTTCAGTTCAGGTCATGTCTCCTGCTGAGCAGGACATTAGTTCAAACACCCTCTCCTGATTACTGTATCCTGCCAGGGCAGAAGACCCTGTGGTGTCATAAAGAATGACTTCAAGTCATGTCTCACTGCAATAGTATCCCGGGTTGTCTATTGCAGTTGACAGTCGTCCTGCCTCCAGGAGGTTGCCATCTCCTGCCACCTGCCTCCTCCATTCACCTGGCAGAAGTTCCCCTAATGCCACAGTGCTATCAGCAAAATTCAGAGGAATGTATCCAGATGCAGGTGAGGCTGCTGCATTTGTGTGGACCAGCATGTTGTGAGGGGCTATGCACGCCTTCACGACTTCCACCGTCTTCTCAGGGTGGAATTCGATGGGCCACACCAGAATTCTCCAACGTGTTGCCAGTATCCCAAAGCTGTTCTCGATCACCTGTCTGGCTCGTGAGTGCCAGTAATTATACACTTTCTGTGCATCATCAAGGTTGAGACCTGAGATAAAAAGAATAAGCACAAACAACATAGGCCTACTATTAGATATACGCATTAACATGGATATTTTCAAAATGTTTATTATTTAGATTAAAAGTAATTACACTACCTGGGTAGAAATGCTGCATCTCCTAGGAACACATGAGGGACAGTCGTGTTGGTGCCAGGCAGGTGGCCAGGTGGAGGCAGTTCAAGAGTCCCCTGCAGAAGTCTTGAACCAAACTGACTGTCCTTGAAAATTCCCCCATCACTCGCTCGACCGTATGAGCCAATGTCTACCATGGTAAAATGATATTTGGCATCACAGATTGCCATAAGGACAACTGAATAAGTTCCTTTATAATAGAAATGGTCACTTCCTGCATCTGGTGGTGCTTTAACCTGCACGTTGTCCATCAATACATCCCAAGCAATTGGGGAAGTTCCACAGTCTCCAGAAATCACGAGAAATCTCTGTCCATTCACTGCCTTTGGGTGAGGAAACAAAATCAGTTATCAGGGCCCTCTAGATGGCCTGGCAAACCTCGGACACAATCAGTTAAACTGTTGTCAACCCGCAACACTTTTCTGGCTACCACCAGAAGCGAGGATACTCAAAGTAACAGCCAATCACTCCTGCAAACTGACCGGGCTACAATGGGTCCTTTCATGCCGCAAGAACGGCTTGATCCGATGCAGCAGGTCATCGAAGCGGTGCAATATGAAGTGGCTGTGTTCCCCAGTCAGATATCTTGCTACATGTATTGGGCGGACAGACCATCTTCTATTGCGATGCTTTTGTCTGGTTAAAAGCCATAAACATAACAATTCCTCCTCTGCAATCCATACTTTTGGTGCCGCCATCATCGCTGTTTACATTGTTTTCCACTTGCTTCTACTTCTACTGTTTTTTGCCTGCTTCTGCTACTTCCTATAGTACTTTTTTCTCTACCGCCCCCCCGTCTTTGAGTCAAATACTGCAACGAGGTGAGGTGCACATGCGATCCGCAAATGGAGCCAGGCGAAGGTAAAGACTACAACCTCTGCCAAATAATTCCTTTCACTATCAATACCTGATCTGTTCAGTTCGATAACATTTTGAAAGTCTAGAGGAGTCGCAAAATTAAGTAAATTCATCCCTATTTAAGTTAGCGGAGCGCTAAAGCTGAAGTTGATGGTTTGGTTCAAGGAATTTTTGTCTTGTAGTGACAGATTCCCAATCAGGACACCAGGGCAAAAGATAATAATGACTCGATAAAAGTTTGATAAAATAACTTAAAACACAGGACATAGGACACTGAGAAACCCTTAGCCGGTCGCATTATGTGCATGTGCCCAGTTGTGTTCTTGGATGCTGCTCACTAATCCTTGCCCTCCCTCATTTTGCTGCTTGTATTTAACTTTTCCCCTCTTCTACAGACCTGGTTCCCACAACGTTAAAGGGATAGTGCACCCAAAAATGAAAATTCAGCCATTATCTACTCACCCATATGCCGATGGAGGCCCTGGTGAAGTTTTAGAGTCCGCACATCCCTTGCGGAGATCAACAGGAGCAGCAGCTAGCACACCTAATGGCAGACGGCGCACCAGACTAACGTCCAAGAACACAAAATTGAATCCACAAAGTATCTCCAACATGCTCATCCATAGTGATCCAAGTGTGCTGCAGCTGCGACATAAAAAGTTGTTTAAAAAAACGTCATATGAACTCTGTTTTTAGCCTCACTGTAGCCTGTAGCTCTGACTGCTTCTCTGTGCTCCACACTCACGTGTGCTTGCATGCGACCAGCGAAAGCACGAGCTTTGCTTACCCGTGTTTACATCACGTGACACGTGTACCGCAGGGAGAGACAACGTAACCACAGAGATAATTAATAATATAATTATAATAATTATAATTTGCACTACGGTCTTTTAGCAAAGGACAGCTCAACATGTCTGAAGACTTTGAAATTGAGGAGGAACATCATTTCTTTGTTGAGCCGTATTTGTTTGAGCCCGAGTATACAGACGCGGAACTCAGGCTACTGGACGAAGCAGCCGCCACAGCTCATGAGCCTCAGCCAGCTTTAGAATACCGGAGTTGAGCAATGGCAACCTGGTGGTGTAGTTGTTTCAAATGCAAAGCAATGCCAACAGATGAGGAAAGTCTTTGCTGCTCAGACTGAGAATTGGCGATGCCTGCACTTGAGAATCTGTCTGGACATCAGTACTGATGAGACTGCTGCTCTTCAGAGACCGTGCATCACCGATCACCCTGAGCGCGCACACGTGAGCGCGGAGCACAGAGAGGCAGTCAGAGCTACAGGCTGCAGTGAGGCTAAAAACAGAGTTCATATGATGTTTTTCGAAACAACTTTGTATGTTGGGGCTTCAGGACACTTGGATCACTACGGATGAGCAGTATGGAGATACTTTGTGGATTCAATTTTGTGCTCTTGGACGTTAGTCTGGGGCACCGTCTGCCTTAAGGTGTGCTAGCCACTCTCCCCGCCAATCTCCGTAAGGGATGTGAGGACTCTAAAACTTCACCAGGGCCTCCATCGGCATATGGGTGAGTAGATGATGGCTGAATTTTCATTTTTGGGTGCACTTAAGCCTAACGCCCTGTCCGGTCAGTTTGTGGAGAAAGACGACTCCACCCCTGGCCCGAACATCATCCCTCCTGCCCTTGTTTGGTCACTTTGCTCACCTAGGAGGTTGAAGGAAAAGTCAAGGCTGCCATGGAGGACCAGCCCATGGAGGACCAGCCCAGTCCAAGCTCCTGTACCCCTGACCGCCTGTGCGTCCTGCAGACCCTGAGGACTGATGTCCTCCAATCAGCTGCCCGAACAGCTGATTCACAATTAACAGTACAATGACAGCTAGAAACAATCTTCTTCAACTGAACTCTGCCAAGACTGAAACACTGACTGTGAGAAAGCCCCACAGGTCAAGGTCCAACAGCACCATCTACTGGCGCAAAGAGAGCTGGCAGTAAACACGTCAGGACATGGCCAGTCACACTGACTAGCAGCAGACCAGTCAGTGAGCAGACCGTGTAAACCTGCATGGACTTTCTGTGTGTTTCCCTAATGATGTGTGCGTTCTTGAGGAAATGTAAGTGCGTTCTGCTTTTTAGTTATGGATAATCTGATCACTATTCCAGTTTGTGTTGTTTTACATGGTAATATGTTGTGTGAGTTTGAGTTAGCTAAGTAGCCTGTGTCTCAGTACTAGCTAGCTGCCTCTTGCTAGCACTGCAGTTACATTTGGATGCTTGTGAGGATTTAATGATATTTCGTTTGTAATGCCAACATTGCAACTCAGTTTATTTGCGTGATTGTGACCATGCTTATTGTTAATAGAAGTTTAAAGGTCGAATTATTTACTGTGGTCAACATTTAATATGTCAGGCTCCCATGCTGTTTATCATGCTTTGCTTCTGCTTATGTTATGTTGGACATTGTACTGCTTATTACACCACTAATATTGCATCTCTGCTGTTGTATTATGCTTAAGTAGCGGTTTGCATATAAGTTAGGGATATTACTGGTGAACCTTAAAATCTTATGCTCATATAGCAGCTTATTTAGAAATGTTTATTTGATGTAACTGCTGAATAATATGCAGAGTATTTGTTGTAATACAGTTTATTGCCTTTCTTTATTTCCAGACCACACACACACATACATTATACACCAATGTTAAAGTCCAACACCCTCAGTAAAAGAAGATAAATCAGATCTCTCTCTCCAAGTGCCTTGATTCTCTAACCGGAATCATAGTCCATAATCTGCCGCCTCAACCAGCTATCCTTTTACTGAGGCTCGCCCTCAAACACTGATTATTGCCCCAGACAGTGCCATTCCACCCATAAAGCAGCATTTAGGTCTGTTAGGCCTCTCTGTCCAACCTAGTTTACGTAATCTAGGAGTTGTGTTTGACAAGGACATGTCCTTGGACCTCCACTGTAAACAGTTGGTGAAGAACTGCTTTTATCACCTTCGGAATATCGCAAAACTGAGGTCCATGATTTCAAGAACTGAAATGGAGATGATTATTCATGCCTTTGTTTCATCTCGCATTGATTATTGTAATGCACTTTTTATGTGTTTTAACAAAAAGGCTGTAAATCGTCTTCAGACTGTGCAAAATGCAGCAGTAAGGCTTTTAACGGGGTCTAAGAAAAGGTATCACATCACCCCAATTCTATAGTCCCTACATTAGCTACCAGTCAATTTTAGGATTCATTTTAAGATCCTGGTACTCACTTTTAGAGCCCTCCATGATCAAGCCCCCTCGTACATCACTGAGCTACTGAGACCCTATTCTCCCTCACGTTCACTAAGGTCATCTGATCAGAAACTCCTGATGGTCCCCCGCACCCATTTCAAAATACGAGGAGATTGTTCTTTCCAGACCAGTGCTCCACGCCTTTGGAATGCACTACCTCTGACTCTGCGTAGCATAAAGTCCACTGAAGGTTTTAAGAGAGAACTAAAAACTTATCTTTTTAGACAGGCGTTTTACTGAAGTTGATGTTTTTGGGCCTCTGTGACTTTATTTGTTTTCTGTGCCATTGTGTGTTTTCTGTGTTGTCTCTGTATTTTATTGCTTGTTATTCTTGTTGTAAAGCACTTTGTGATTTTATCTGTGAAAAGTGCTATAGAAATAAAATTTACTTACTTAAAAATTTACTTAAATGGCGAGTGAGCACATGTGCAAGGGGCGAATGGCAGAAAGTATGACAGATAAATTATAGGCCTGATCATGAAAAAAGATTTGTCTTCCTGACCGAACTTTTGCTGGAGCTTTATTTAGCGACGGGTCAGCGGACCCAGCCTGCTCCCCCAGGTGAGATTGCTCAGCATCCGCACCATCAAAGGGCCAGTCACAGCCTGTGAGTGAGCAGTACCCTGGCCTGCAGATGTGCCTGTGGGTGCAGTCCCTGGCTTAGGAGGTATCCTTGCACTGGGAACATGTACAGGAGGGCCAGTGGTAGTATTTCAACCATTGCAGCCATGAACCCTAAGAGCCACAGTCTCATTCTCCACGTGGGCCTTGTCCCCAGGCAAAAATGTAATAGGCAGGCCCTGAAAGAGAGGCCAGCAAGATCCCGAAGGGGACCCTCCCAGATGGGAATAAAAAAGTAGGTATCCCTGAGGTCTATGGTGGCAAACCAATTCACCCTGGGCATTGTCAGCATTTTGAACTTCAGGAGATGGAGAGACCAGTTAAGAATTGTTCCTCATCTCCCATCTTTTTTTGGGAGGAGGAAACAGTGGGAATAGAACTGGAATAGAACCCAGCCCGCTGATTCTCTGACTCTAACTTCCTGACTGCTCTTTTCATCAGCAGGGTAAAAGCCTCTGCCCCTAACACCTCCCTGTGCTGCAGGTCTGTCACTGACAAAACCTTCACTGATCTTGACATGGGGAATTAGAGAAAACTGAAGCCCCCTGGATCATGGTTGAGGCTGCCTCGGGATCCGTGTTTGTTCAGAGATGGAAGGAATATGTATTAATAGTTTTTTCCTGTGTCACTCCACTTTATTGCACATAACTTTATTTATTAATTGAAATGTTGTAAAGATAGAAAACATTTTTGGAGAGATGGGGATTAATGGACAGTAGATATTGATGGTTTGAAAGAGGGAGGGAGACGTAGCAAGAACAAAATGGGGTGAGGGAGTGAATGATGTAATGGAGGAGATGATGATCAGGAGTGAGAGGAAAAAACAAGCTGAGGGGAGGAGGGGAGGGCAACAAGATAGATGATGGAAATGGAGAGATGAAGAGATAAATATCTCATCTCAAGAACAGGTCATCTGAGAGCTTCTTGTTCAGCTCCACGATCACTTCCTCTGATGATGGTGGAGACACTGGAAGCAGCTGACCTCTGTATCTCTCCCCTCAACACCTCCTGCAGGTCAATGCCTGTTACTCCCCAGGCCATATTCATCAGAACACTGCTGTGCTGCATCACTCTTCTCACTGTGAAGCTCAATTTGTTGGTTATCATCTCAATCTCCCACTTCAGGTACAGACATTTTTCTCATAATATAACAGCTGTTACAGTGTATGAGTTCAATTCATGGATAGATTCTGTGTTTATTAGATATTGTATGCTAAAAAAGACGTCAGTGCTTTCACTTGTAAATGAAAGTGTAATGTTCAGTATGCCTTTCTGTTTAAATTTGTCACTACAACAGTAATCATGAAGAATTTCTTACGTATACCACCACACTTCTTTAGTACTTAGTTCGGATAATGCGGATCTGATTGATTTTACTTTGCATGTAGGCTATAAATATAATTTGTCTTCATTCTCACAATTATCAGTGTGATCGAAACTAATTTTCACTGAGTATGAGGCTCTCATCATAATCTCCCTCTCCAGGCAGCTCCACACCCCCACCAATCTCATCCTCCTCTCTCTGGCTGTGTCTGACTTGTTTGTGGGCCTCGCAGTGATGCCAAGTGCAATCATCAGCCTGCAGTCCTGTGGGTTTCTGGGTAAAATCACATGCGCTTTTGTGTACCTGTTGGGCTTCATCCTTACCTCTGCTTCTGTTGGGAACATGGTGCTCATATCAGTGGACCGTTATGTGGCTATTTGTGACCCTCTGCGCTATTCTTCCATGATAACACTAATCAGAGTTCAAATCTGTGTGTCTCTGTGTTGGTTATGTGCTGTTATCTACAACCTTATAATTCTTAAAGATCACTTTTCACAAATAGATTTGTCTAACTCCTGTGCTCAAGAATGTGTAGTTGTTATAAATTACATTTCAGGGCCAGTAGACTTGCTTCTGACCTTTGTTGGCCCTGTTACTGTGATCATAGTTCTCTATATGAGAGTGTTTGTGGTGGCTGTGTCACAAGCACGTATCATGCGGTCTCAAATTTCAACTACTAAATCAAATACTGTG